CAGGGAGGAGCCCCCGCCAGGGGTCAGGGGGAAGATCACTTGGGGACACCAAGTGGCACTGGGTGCAGATGGGAATCCATTTGTGGGTGTCATTATGGAGTCCTACTTACAGCAGACCTCTGGCCACCGGCAGGGCACGCTGGGAGCAGACCCAGCTCCGGGGACTTTTCCAACAACAGTGGGGAGGCTGTGCCCTGCGGGGCAGCACCATAGGCCTGTCCCAGCGACCCCACCCAGACATGGCTGGCAGTGAAGCACCAGGATGGAAGAGAGCCTTGGTCAAAGCTGCCTTCATTCCCTTGACCTGAGTGACAAGGCTCGGTGGACTATCGTGTGCTGGTGCTCATTCTGCCAGTAACAGCTCCAAAACATGGGCCTGCTGCTGGGACCCGGCGGGGGAGGCAGAGAGAGATGCCAGGCAAGGGAGATGGACGAGTGAAAGCGTGGAATCACCTCATGGTAGAGTATTGGCAGAGAGTGACCTCTTCTCAAAATTATCAGAGGTTATTTGAAGTGCAGATTCCGAGCCTTCTCTGAGACAAGCCTAGTGTATCAAAACACTCTGCAAGTAGGGCCAGGGAATTAGCATTATTAACAGGTGCCCTAACTGATTGCTAGTCCCACTGCATTGTGAGTAAGAGTCATTCAAAGGTTTTGAACCAGGGGAGTGACATGGGTGAATGTGCATTTCAGCTCCGTTCCTGGGGCCGTGGAGAATGCATTCAGGGAGAAGTCTCTGGAGGAAGAGATACTAACTAGCCGGAGAGGCGCTGAGCAGGGGCGGGGGTGTGGAGCAGGTCAGAGGATGCAGATGAGGAAAGCAGAGCTGAGCCCGGCAATTGAGAGGGCGTGGAGTCGGGTGAGAGAGAGGTCAGGAGTGACTCTGGGGTCTGGATGTCGTGAGCAGCCCTTCCTCTGAGCCCACGGGGCCCCTTGGCACTCAGAAGGTGAGAGAATCGTTCATCACAGTCCATCCTGTGAAACGTTCAGGAACAAATCAATAAAAGATGATTTCCCTGTAAGATCAAAGTGGAAAATGAACCCCCCCCCCACACACACACATATACAAAAACCCTAGAGCGTCCTAAGGGGACGCTTTTTCAAATAGTACAGTTTAGAATAAATTTCAATAAAATTGATCTAGTTTTTGGGGTAGTTTTGGCAATTAAAAGGATTCTCTTAGTTATCTGGAATGTTCATTTATAGAGATGCCTCATTTCCCTAATAACATGAGAATATGACCATCCTAGAGCAAAGCTTTTAATCTTTAATAAGGATTAAAGTTGTTATTTAAAGGAACCTTATCTTAGAAGCACTGCATGGAAAGAAAAAATGAGGTTGCATAATCATTTAAATATATATGTACTAAGAGAACTCCAGGGTAGAAAGTTGCCTGAAACAATGCAGGATAGCGAGGCCTTACCACCAACAATAAAACCATCAGCGCAGGGAGAACCTGAGTGGTCCCGGGGGATCAGTGACACCTGTCAGCGCAGGACACTCTGGGAAAGTTGCGTTGACACCTGTCCCATTTGGTTTCTCTGGACACTAAAGGCTACTTGCTGCAGGTCTCAGGTCCAGGAATAAGAGTAGATGGTGTAAGTAGCCAGAAGCGATTTCCTGAGGCCCCTCGTCCTTGAGCTGCTTGGAAGTGTCACTAATCACTGGTGAAGCTACAGGCAGCTCAGTGTATGGGTCTCCACGGCTCCCATTCTGCTTCCTTTTGACCTTACACCTGAGTCATCTTTTATTTATGTCCTCCCATAGCATTTCCATAGGATGGTTGTGGTCAACACCATTCATCAACTTCTAATGGGCTCGAATGGAACTCTGAGATCCCCTGGGACGTGCTTTGATCTAAGAAAAGAAAAATTGCTAACGGCACTTCTTAAACTAAGAATGTATGTCTTCCCATAAATTGACCTTGTAGAGTTATTTGTGGATTCCAATAGGGAAATGACCTTCATAGGTCCCTGCACCTTCTCAGCCCTCCCTGCTCCCACCCCCACCAGCTGATGTCCTCTGCCCACTCCCGCAAGCTCCGGGCCAAGGTCGCCAGGCACAGAATCATGGCTGTGTGTCTTGGCTTTTTCCTTCTGCCATTTGTTCGTTTATTCGCTGAATATTTATTGCACCCCTGCTTTTTCCAGGCAGGGTGCTGAGTGCTGGAGACACTGCGAACAGACAATCTGTGCTCTCACGGACTTCCCACCTAAACAAATAAGGACACAGTTCTGATTCAGAGGAAACCGTAACGTGAGCTCTGGAGAGGCGCTGTGGGGTCTCTGGGCGGCTCTGGCAGCCTCTGTTGCTTGTCCCCCTCCTGTTAATGCAGGTTTCTGGGGGTGGGGCGGTGGCAGGGGGAGGGGAAGCAGGGACTGTGTATTGGACACATCTCTTGACACCCCCTAAACCACTACTAATTTACTCAAGCCCTTTGGTGTGAAATCTCCACCTCAGCAGACAGATCTTCTGCCTCTGATCACCCCTGCCCTGGCCTGAGATCCCTTGTGCTCTGCTGCTCGCCCACCTCCTGGCTCCCTCCCTCAGACGGGGTCCCTCTGACCTAATGCTTAGGTCCCCGAGGTGTCAGCTGCCAGAGGTCACCTGGACTGTGAGGAAGGTCAAAGCATCCTCCAGCAAAACCCAGTCATCCTCCCACACAAGCCTTGATTTGTTCTACGACACGCAAATCTCCTTTTTTCTGATGATAAAAGTAAAATGCACATAATAGTAGCATTTATATAAAATAATTTTTACTTAAGATGTTTTACATAAAACAACATTTATAATAAAAATGACATTTCAGAATTGAATAAAGCTGAAGTTCAATGTATTCACACCTTTTACATCTACTGCCAGAAATAACCACTTTTAACAGCTTGGTATTTATCCTTCTAGATATGTTTGTGTTAATGCAAACATATATGTATATCTTCATATTGTCCTACATCTTCATATCGTCCTGTAATCAGTTTTTTTTTCATCTGAATATTCGTGGCAGACACTTTCAGGATGGTACGTGTAAGTCCTCCTTAACCTTTCCAGGTGCCCAGTATTTCACTGTAGGACGTACCATAACTTCTCAGTGAATCAGTCCCCCATTAGTGAACATTTAAATTCTGTCATATTTTGTGGTAATAATCTCGTAGTAATGAATATCCTTATATAGATGGTCCTCAACTTAAGATGGTCCAACTTAACAATTTTTTGACTTTAGGGTGATGTAAAAGCGATATGCATTCAGTAGAAACTGTACTTGGAATTTTGAATTTGGATCTCTTCCCTGGGCTAGCGAAAGGCAGGAGGAGCCTCCCTCGTGATGCTGGATGCCGGTGAGGAGTCGCAGCTCCCAGTCAGCCATGATCAGGAGGGTCCAACCATTCTGCACGCATGCAACCATTCTGTTTCTCATTTTGTGTACAGTATTCGATAAATTACGTGAGATGCTTAACACTTTATTATAAAATAATCGTTGTGTTAGATGATTTTGCCCAGGCTAATGTCAGTGTTCTGAGCACGTTTAAAGTAGGCTAGGCTAACCTGTGATGTTCGGTAGGTTAGGTGTAGTCAGTGCATTTTTAACTTAACATATTTTCAACTTCCAAAGGGTTTGTCAGGAGGTAACCCCATCATAAGTTGAGGACGACCTATATACCCCTCTGTGTCAAATTCTTCTTAGAAAGATATTTTGGGGTCTAATAACATGCATTTTTACTGGATTTTCATACACAATAAAGTGTTCTTCACCACCCCTCACTTAACCCATGGCTGGATGGACTGATGTACTCCATTTGCTTCTAGTATATTCCTCCCTGGGAGCTGTGGTGTAACCCTGCTTCCCACAGGAGACCCCAGTACTTAGCTAGAGTGTTTGTTGCTGAATCTGTTTATTCTAGTTGAATTTGTTATTGTAATTGTGTAATTTATTTAATTGGTATGTAAACCAAAGAAGTATGAGAGGGAAAGAAAGAGTTGTTTAAAAAAAAAAGTTTATGGTACATTTTTCTGACTCCCAACTTGAACTAAAAAATTTTTTAGTAACTAACCACCTACCCCAATCATATCAGATACAAGGCGTCAACTGACTCAAACTTCATCAACAATGTGACCATGTTTTCGAGTTCTGTCCTCTCTTGACCTGCCTTGCCAGTATTGTCTCTGGAAAAACATCCCATAGCTGTTTGGTTTATTTGTAAATTGGGTTATCATTACTTCTTACAAATACTTAAGAACCAGGCATGCCTTTTCTAGGGTATCCAATACGACCCACCTCATAAAAGTTGATGTTTAGCCTTTCTTCTCACCCGCCAAGCCCTTGTAAGTTCTTGTAATGCTAACAGAGACACAATCTTCAACCTCCCAGAAGAGAAACAAAATCTGGAAATCTCAGGTGTTGCCTTTGAAAGTGAGAGAGTCTATACAAACATCCTGTCACTCTCCAACCTAATAGGACATAAGAAATCATTTTACAGCCTCTCCAAAATCTACAAAATCCTTTATGTAACTGCTGTAGGTACTTACGATTATTATTTGTTGGATGTATAGATATACAAGGAAACATATTTCTGTAGGGTTGGCTGTACAGCGATCTCTGATTAAGTCGGAATGAATGAAGAATTAAGCCACAGGGCATTCACTCAACAAATATTTGTTAAGTGCCGACCGTATCCCAGTGGGCTGGTAACTTCTGGGGTATAGTGGGTAGTGGGTACCCTGGGGAGAAGTGTTGTCAAGACGCTTGTCATCTAGCTAAAGACTTCAGGCCACTGGGAAATGCACAAATGCAATTTACTCAAAGGAGCAAGCACTTCTGGAACTGCTCAGACCACGTGTGCACCTGGCCAGTGGAACAGGAGGCAAAAAGGCAACAAGAAAGTTTTTTCATGCAATCTATGAATTCTCTCAAGGCTTACCCATGTAATTGAAGTATCCATTTCACTTACCCTGTATGGCATTTGACAAAGCCAGACATCTTGCTGCTGTGTTTTCTCTTCTAGGATATCAATGAGTGCATTCTTGAAAACTATCCTGAGTGTTCCAACCCCAGATTATTTTACATCATTCCATATTTTTGTGGACAGCATCCCAGATGCAGGTAAAGACTAACACAGACTCGTGGCATGCTAAGGTGGAGAACGATGGCAGGAAAGCCACCAATTGGCACTGTGTGGGAATCTCTTGCATGCCTAGTCCCTCGACCTTCTGGAATTCAGGTCATGTTTACTGTTAATCTTTAAAGATTGCATTTGAGACTCTGAGTGACCTCTAAATGATGAAATTAACAGATCAAGGTCTGACAGAGGCCTTGGGACCACCCCATCAAGATGTGTAACTGGAATGCCAACCGAACCCTTTTTTTTAAATTCTGAACTCATAGCTGTCACTGCTCAGCCCATGAGATAGTAAAGCCCAGGGGTGAGCACCCAGCCTGCTCCTCCATAGTGCTCTACTCCATCAGCAACTATTCTTGCCCACGTGCCCTGTCTAATTGGGTCTGAAACACGGCGTGCTCACCCCTGAAAGTCAATAGTGTCTCTCTCAGGAGACATACTTAGTAGAAAAATTACTTTCTAGTGATTGCCCCTCAGCCTTACTTGGATGCAAGACCTTCTGTAGAACGTGACTGACTCAGATAGTAAGGCTCTCAGAGTGTTGGTCTGCCCACCTCCTGCATCAGCATCCCTGGGGCCCTTACTGGGATCCTCCACCTCATCACAGTCTCTGAGGTGGGGCACAGATAATTCTGGGGAGTCTAGTCTAGCTACAATTTAAATCCATTGTACTAGACAAACATGTAGCCTTGAGAAGAAATGGCAGTAATGCACAATGAACATTATCTTCATGTGGGGGAAAATAAACCCTCTACCAGAAGTGACATTTTCCCCCCAAAGGGAACATTGATGAGAAGGTCAGTGTGTTCCTGAAAAGACCCAAGAGAAGAAACCCTTTCTGAAGGGCAGCTCATCCCTTGTCCTTTCTGTTTGCACTCTGATCACTGCTTAATTACCATGGGCGTTGTTGTTGTTGTTGTTTTGCTGAGTTTACCATAACACAGGACTTTGTTTATGGTCCGGATTCCAGGACTAGAAGTGTCCGTTTTCTGCTTTATCATAAGCTTCCTAAGTTCAGGAAGCCTCCCCCCTCCAACCCTCACCCCTGTATAAATGTCTCCTGGTTCACAGTCAATGCTTCAGACACTGGAAAGATCTGGGGCCTGATGACTCACTTTTTGTCACAGTGAAGATACTGAGAAGCATGATTCTAACTCCCTCAAGTATTTTCTTAAATTATATATTTCCTAATCTTGGGGAGAGCGCTCGCGGTGCCTTATCCTGGTACATACATGATGATTTTCAAAACTCTTTCACAACGTCCCCTGCTCCACCTTGACAATTACTCAAGCTGGGTAGGCTTGCCCCAATTCCCTTGGATGGTGGATGCCGGCCAGGCCTGGAGCCCAGCTCCTGTGACTCCTGTCCTTTCCCACTCACATAAATGCTGTTAGCTCGGAGCTCTGCCTTGCAAATGAGATTAGGCTGTTTTCCTTCTGTAATTAAAAAAAAAAAAAAAAGTTGTCTTTAAACTCTTTAAAAAAGAATAAGATGAGCAAACATGACCTGATACCTATTTTGATTTCGATAGAAATACCGTATCAGTACGTTTCATGATTTCAAAACCCCTCGCTTTATTGGTTTGCTCCTTCTATTAAAAAAGCCATTCTAATGGCCCCTTGATTAGCGTTTATAGGATCTAACTGCCTGTGTCTGTATCCTCTTTCTAACAAATATTTTGGCCAGGCCCCCTGAGGCCCTGGGCGAGGCAGTGCTGACCCGTGAACATGGTAGAGGTCAGAAGCGGGGAAAGGCTGGTGGCAGCGGGAAGACCCCTGGAGGTGGCCACATCAGGCAGGCCTGGTCCTTGAAGGAAATGGGATTTGGACTCAATCAAACGGCGGTGGGTGGGTAGAGGAGGTACCTTTTCAACATGTTGTTGCCACATTTCAAAAATGACTCTCTAATTGAAAAATCATTTTTATATCCATAAAGGGAGCCTGGTGAGTGGGCCCTTGAAAGAGCAAAGTTGAACGTGAATGAAAACTTCCTGCTTGTGGGGATTCTCGAAGAGTTGGAAGACGTGCTGCTTTTACTGGAAAGATTTTTACCTCATTACTTCAAGGGTGTGCTCAGTATCTACAAAGACCCAGGTAACTCCCTTTGTAGAGGCTCTTTGGCGTTTTGAGGGTTACTCACCTTGAACGGGACTCGGGCCAATAAAGGAGGGAAATCTGTTCATGAAGAGAGGTTGCCGCTGGCTTGCAGAGGAAGGGTAGAATCACGAGCTATAGATGCCAAAACCTGGAGCTTCAGGTCCCAACCTAAACTTGCCATGTTTGAAAGCCCTGATGGTTCCATTTCTCCCTTTGGAAAGTGCAACTGGCAACATCTGCATTGACCTTGTCTTGAGCGTGTTGCCAGAATGTGCCAGTGAACAGACGTGTACATGTTGGAGTCCACTGATGGAAACAGGAATGTGAAGGAACCACAGTTTAATACCCTTTCTGGGCCCTACTTCCATTTGCCAAAGCACTCTGGTGTATAAAATGTTGGCAATAGAATAGATAGAGGGGCAAATTGAAAATGCAATTATGATTTTACTCTAATAAATGGAGTGGTTTCCAAATAGAAGCAAGAAATGGAATGCAGCAGGGCAATCACAGAGGTTGCCCATAGAAATGTAATTACTTTCAGAAATCCATCATTTATTTTTCTCATTATTACTTGATCCTGAAAGTCAAACAGCATTGTTTATTTCCTCTTCTCCTAATCTACTGCTGCCACAAGCCTTGCATACTTATTCACTGGTCTCTTTGTTGTTTTGTCTTGTCATCCTGAAATGCGAGGTGGCCTGGTGCTCTGTAGAACTGAGGAGCAGATCGAAAGGTCCCCCAAACGCAGCCCTGCTGCCTCCCGGTCCTCCGCCGGGCAGGGACCACATGCCACACCTGCCTCGTTGGCACGTAGCGATGCCCACGTGAACTCGGCTTTGCCTGGAGCAGCCCTGGATCCTGTTACCTAAGGCAGCCCGGCCACCACCAGGGGTTTGCAGGAGGAACATGGCTGGCGGGTGGGTGCTGCCTGGGGCCTCTCAGCTCTCTCCTTCAGAGATACATTCTGACGCACCTGCATGCAGGAACATGACCGCGACCCTTCACGCGTGCCCTGCAGGTGTGTCTCCTCAACAGGAAATGGGGTGTGAATAGCTAGAAGCGGAAGAAACCCCAGTCACTTTTTGAAACCAGGCCTTCCTTTGCCCCTACAACAGTGGAAAATTTTAAAGAATTTCAAGAGCCATGCTGTGACCCACTTTTAGCTCCAGAAGATAACATAAACTGGAGTCTTTGTGCAAGGTGGGGTCTTACTCTAAATTAGACTTTTTTGAAGAAAAGGTTTAGATCATTCATCGTTATTTCCACTCTTTGGCGTTATATTGCAGAGCATGCGTGTGTGCATGAGTACATGTGTGCACGTGTGTGGGGGATACGCAGTATGAGATAAAAGATGAGCGAGATCCTGGAGACACATAGTTGTCAAAAAAAATGAATGCCCTCTTGTCCCCACATTTGAGAAGAGTTTCGGTGACTCTACATCACACACATCGTCCGTCCTCAGGCCAGGAACTGGTGTCATTCACGGGTGCCAGAGCCCAGTACGCGGAAAGTCGGCGTCTGGGGTGTAACCCCTAGAACTTGGGTGAGGGTAGTTTTATCTTTGTTCTTCTTAAATACAAATAAACCGCAAATCAAAACCTTACCCCGAGGAGCCCACTTGCCTGCTGTTGTCAGAATCTATCATCTTGACTTCTCAGCTATTTTCTCCATATTAGCTATGTGACTTCTCAGAAATTGGGCCTTGGTCCCATGATCTATAAGCATGTAAGTTAAAGTAGAACGTATTTCTGAAAACTGAATGACTGTTAGCTCTTTTGATGTTAGCCATGATCTTTCCACCTATAATTTCAAGATTTTTGTCCTTTTGAGTTTGGCGTAGCGGTATATTAAATCCCCTGAGGCTTGCTGCCTTGGAGAGGGTAAGGGTTGTCTGGTACTCCTGTGTGGCGGGATGAAAGATTTCTATAAGGCCAGAGTCGACACATGACCAGTTCACACAGTCCAGTGGTACCAGTGGTTAAGATAGTGAAATATGTCTATACTGCCCGCAGCACCCACCCTCCAGGTACACCTGCTTCCCCGGCTGCCCCTTATCACCCCCCATTCCAACAGTGAAGTCACAAAGGGGGTCATTCATGGGCATGGATGGAGTCTTCCGAGCTCTGGCCTGGGGCTACACTCATCAGGAGAACTCTGAATTCAGAGCCTGAGTGGAACTGGTCGCCAGTTATTTGGAATACCACCACCCCAGCATCACAGTGTGCATACAGCAAATCGAACCCTTGAGTGATTGCTCACGGCTTTCCACCATGCTTTGTGGTCTCTTGGGCGTCTTCTGGAGAGATTCTCCTGCGGTGACACTGAAGGGGCCAAGCAGTCCCACAGCTGCTGTGTCTCAGGGAACCCCATATTCCCTGGGCCAGGGGACAGGAGAGGAGCACGTCCTCCTGGCCCACTTCTCAATACGGTTTAGCCTTGACGAAACTGAAGCACCTGTACTAGGTTCTCGTGGCCAGCATGTTGGGGTCAGCCAGGTTCAAGCAAGTCCCTTGAGTGATTTCATACCAGAGCTGCCTCGTCAGCACGTTTAGTCTAAATTCTCGGATTACAGAGCCCTGAAATCATTGCTCTTGCCCTTTATTGAAGAATTTTATAACTGAAGAGCCTAGAGAACAGAGGGAAGAAAAACTGAAAATCTTAGACACCGAGGGATCTAGTGACCCTTAAATCATTGTAGATTAACCAGCCATAGAGCTGGATTGAGGTGCAGACACTTCACTGGCCATTTTTTCTTTGGTGCTTGTCCTGTTGTTTTGAAAAATGTAGGTGTGTGCTGACTTTTAGTAAGCCCCCTCCAGCAATACAAAACATATTTAGACCCATGTCATTTACTGAAGAGAAAGCCGTAGCAGCAGTGACTGTTTGGGGAGCTAGTAAAAATAGTAAGGTCTGGTAGTCAAATGGGTTTTCGCTTATTCTAGATAGGAATGATATTCCTTAATTCCTTCTGGACAGTACTGCTTGTTTCAATAACCCACCACCTAAGGAAGTTAATAACTTCCCTACATAATAGTTTGACTCTTTGCCCCTACGTTGTTCATTTCTTACAGGAAAGTATGCTGACAAGTAAATTTGTCACCTACCCAGAATATTTGAGAAACTTAATTTTTAAAAGGAATTAAAAAAAATATTTTGTGTTAATGTTTGCATTCTGTGGAGACCCATTTAGCATATCTCAAAAGAAATTTATACTAGTAAGTACTCAAGAGGAAAAAAAAAAATGAGTATTGGCATGTGAATAACCAAGAGAATATGCTCAAATGTTTCTCACCAGCCAGGGGATGGTAGTTGCTGATGTGGAGGCGAGTACCCCGGAGAGAGCACTCAGTAAACGCCACCCAGCCTTGGCTTGAGTTTGAATTAGGGAGAACCAAGCCCCAGACAGGTGTACTGGTTAAGAAGAGCTGACCTCTCTTGTTCAGCCTACACCGTCTGATTTGTTGATTAATTAATCTTGATTATGTTGGCTCATTACTTACCTTTTCAAAATGAGAAACTGGAGCCGGCCCAGAGAAGTGGAGAGGCTGATCCATAGTCGCCCACCAAAATGTGGAAGTAAGGGGCAGAACTCACCTGTTCCTGAGCCATGAGTATTGTGTTCGTGAATGCTTTTTCTCCTTCGTTCTTTAAAAACTGACACGCTGTGACCCACGAATGTTTTTCTTAGTCATAATTTCTGTAGGAGCTAAAATCACAGTGGTGTTAGAAACCAAAATAAATAAGTAAATTAATTAAAGACAGAGAACATGTGAATATCTGTGATAGGAACAGTCCTTAGATGAGTGTCCCCCGGCTGGGCAAATCACCGAGCTGTTATAGTTCAATAGCGCCACCTAGCATCCAGACATTGGAACTGTATGACCTAACGTTAACTCCCACTACCTTTCTCCTGCCTGGAGACTTGAAAGCTCATGTGTCCAATTCTTTTCTCTCGTATTTTAAATACTTTCCATTACCAGCGTTACATTAGTACTCATTTTCAACTTTTTTCCATTACAAATGTAAACATTGGTGCCACGGTAGGGAATTTACTAGACTTTTGTGAGCTGCCTTGAGACTCTCACCACCACCTATTACAAAGGAAAAACGTGTAATTCCAAACAAATGACTTATATACTAACTCTGCAGAGTTCATTCATAAACTGGGTGCTTTGGTTTTTTTTAATGTTCTTATTTAAATATTTTTATAAACAATGATAGATTAAAAATTTAAATATCATTTTTTACTATGCACGAATGCTATTTGGACCCTCAGTAGGAGTACAGTAATGTATGCTGAGTCCACATGTATTGCAGTATTTAATTCTGAGGACATTTACATAGAAAATAATAGCAAATATGTAGAAGAGAAAATTTAATATAGTATGCTACAGGAAAAATTCAAGTTTTCCTCCATCTCTCAATAAAAATACCAGACTGGGTTAAAACAAATACGAAGTGATTAAAGCTTGGCCTATGTATCATAAAGAACAGCCAGTCTTTAAGGAAAGAACACTGAGTTGAGAGTTACAGGATCCTCTAAGCCTCTTTCTGCCACAATTCTGCCCATATGACTCAGGGTAAATGCGTATTTGGTGGCTGATCTCTAAAGGCTGCATTATTATGATACTGAAGCATCAAGCAGAATATTTTAAGGCTTCATGTTCTACCTTTTGTTGGTTTGCACAATTATAGGGTACTTCCCCCCCTAAAAGCAAGAGTCCTTGGACAGCCCCCATTGCCTTGATAATTTCCAAGTTTAGTTATGGTGGCTGTCGCCACCTACAGGGCACGACAGAATCCTAGATGGAGGGTTATTGGTTCAGAACCTCTCTTGCCTATAGCCACCAATATTGAGGTGACCAGCTCAAACTCTGGTCACAGTGTCCATCTCTTTCTGTACCATATGCATTTCTGTCAAGAAGAGCACAGAGCACGCAATCTGGAGTAGACAGACTGGGTGCTAGGTATAATTCCTCTAAGCCTCAGTCTCCCCA